CCCGGTAGCAAAACACAAAAAACCTGAAATAAAAGCAGTGCAAACCATGCCAAAGTGGTGTGCACTGGGACAAATGCAGAGCCCCTGCAGAGGCACCCTGTGCCCCAGCCAACCTCCCCCCAGCTGGCTGGGACACAGAATGCCTTCAAACAGGGGAGCGGGCTGCCTGCTCCCATCTCCTTATGCCTCAGTGCAGGGCCTCCACTGTGCAGCCCCAGGAAGCTGCAGATCAGCTGGCTGGGGCGCAATGTGCCTGGAGACAGGGAAGCAGCCAGTCCAGGGCCGCCTGCTCCCCAATCTCGAGGCACACTGTGCCCAAGCCAGCCAGGCAGCAGCTGGCTAGGGTGCAGAGTGCCTCAGCATGGGGGCTCTACAGCGCATGGAGACAGGGGAGCAGGCAGCCCTGGCCTGCCTGCTCCTCCATCTGCACGTGTCACTCCCCAGATGGCCGGGGCACAGGGTGCCTCAGTGCAGAGATAGTAAACATCTGCACGTGTCACTCCCCAGATGGCCGGGGCCCTAGCCAGCCCTCTTCTCCCCCCACCTCTCTCCAGCAGCACACTAAGCAGTGGAGCCCCCACGCTGAGACATGTGAAGACAAGGGAGCAGGGAGCCCTGGGCTGGCTGCTCCTGTCTCGAGGCACACTGCACCCCAGCCAGCCCCTCCACAGCTGCCTGGGGCACAGTGTGCATCAGTGCAGGGGCTAGCTGGCAGTAAGAGACATTGTCCTGCTGCTCCATGTTCTGCAGAGGGGTGCTGACTAGGGCACAGGGCTGGCAGAAGTGATCTTTTAGTAGAGCACCTAGATATTTGCCAAAAATAGGGCTACTAAAAGATATCACTTCTGTCAGCCGTGTGCCCCAGTCAGCACCCCCCTGCAGCACATGCAGCAGCAGGACAATGTATCTTACTGGAAAGCACACAGGCAGGGGCGGGCACTGCGGCACAAAATAGTGGCAAAAATATGCGCCACTACTATTTGGCATGCTGCAAAGGCATGCCGCTGGTTGTGTGGACTTGGCCACAGATTGCAAATAGGAATCCACAGCGCTAAAACATACTCCCTTGCTGTGATCTTTCTGAGTTCTTGGCAACAGAATTGCTCTAGTATTACTCTGTAGTCACAAGATGAGTGACAACAATGAGCTAGCATTTTCCAAGGGCTGCCTCGAGCCAATTGAGGGATGCCTTGAGTCTAAAAAGTTGAGAACCACTGTTCTAGACGAGAGGTTCCCAACCCCTGGGCCGTGAAGGGTTGCTTGCCGGTCTGCAGGAGGGTTGGCTGCTGGACCGGAAGTCTGGAAATGACCAGCATACTGCAGACTGGCAGCCAATCCTTTTTTATACCGAGTAGAAGGAAGGGTTGGCTGCCTGCCTACAGCATGCCAGTCACTGCTGGTCCGCAGTCACTTTCGGTCCGCGATTTGCCAGTGTGCAGCATAAAAAGTTTGGGACCCCCTGTTCTAGACCTTAAGACGTGCCATCCACCCCATTTTGCATGTGTCATTGCAAGTAAAAATGAGCAAGCATTCTTAATCCCCTACAGAAATACCATTTCCTCCATATCTTGCCCCCTAAAATGTCAGGCACTTAAATACAGATTTTCCAAGGGATCTAAGGGCACATCTGCATGAGATGTTTACTGTGCATCAGACTAATTAGCTGTGCAGTAAACATCTTGTTTTCTACATGTGCACCCCTATTAGGCTGGAGTTAACTAATTCACTCTGCAGCAACACAGCACTTGTAAATACAAGGACTATTCTGCTGCAGAGTGAAAAACTCCTCAGCGGTGCATGTATAGACATTGCCCTGGCTGGCTGGGACACGAGGGTGCTTCAGTGTGGGGGCTGCCTGATGCCTCGCCCTGCACTGAAGCACCCTCAGGCAGCCAGCCCCTCCACAGCACACTGAGCCAGGGAGAGCAGCCCCCCTGCCTGCTGGGGCTGCTCAGACCCAGCTCAACGTGCTGCGATCCTGGGCACATGTGCAAATGGTCTTCCCAGAGCAATAAACTCCAGTGCAAAAAGCACAGCAGGGTTTATTACAGTACATTAATATCCACGTGTAGACATGCCCTAAGGGCCTGTTCCAACTCCCATTAAATTCAATAGGAATTAACCACCCTACTCCGTTTGAGAATCCCAGTCTTAATGCTTATCTGCACTGGTATTTTAGTGTGGAGGTCTAGGCACTCCATTTTTGTTTCTGCCCAAGATGTTACAATGACACTATGTCCTCCAGACCTGCTGAGAAAGTGATAAGAGATTGATGATGAAGTAGGAATATTTTTGTGGGAATTTAAAGGAATGTAAACCCAACTTTAAACTGAATAATTCATTACAATCTTAGCTGCAAATACTTCTGGTGGATAACACAGATGACTGATGACCTTGGGAAATTTATGAGAAATCACACGTCTTTTTATAAAAAGCAGCATACTAATTATCTACATACTTCTTTATAAACCTTACAAAATCCATATAAATTTTCATTTCTACGTAGGAGAACTTTTACAATCTTTGCAATCTCCTATGCCTGATGAAGGGTGCCTGTACCCAAAAACTTGCAAATAAAAGACATTTTTTGGCAAATATCTAGTTACTCTACTAAAAGATATCACTTCTGCCACGAGTTTTGATTCTGTATACAGAATCCTACTGTTGCCTGTTCGTGCTGTACATATTGTAGCAATAACAGCAACCGAGAGAACCAGAATATTCCATCCGACAGCACTGATATCATCTCCTTGTGTTCCAGTTATACATCATCAGGAATACAGCATGTATGTGTGCTTGGCAATTGCCATATAGCCATAATGTCTGCATGTTGGGCAAAATGACCCATTTGTTTTGGTACATTGCAGACATCCACCAAGGCTTTACATCTCAAAAAGCTTACCAGATTCCAGACCTTTTTGAGAAGGTAAGTGCTTTGTCTTGACAGTCCATATTGCAAAGAAGGAATCTGAAACTGAAAGCTGCATGATTTGGGAGAGGAGTGAATTCAACCTCGTTCAACTTTGAAGCTGAAAAGGGAATTCATCTCTCATGCTAACAGAAGCAAGGTAGCTCTAAGCTCCAGACTGAAGAAGAGGTAGGAGCCTTCTAGACTTCCTTACACTGTACGATAAGGCTTACGTGAACTGCCATTACCAAAGACCCTCAGTCTTGTGACCTGCAGTCTTGGTCTGTGCTCTCCTCAGCACAGACTGACTTGTGCCAAGCTGCCTAATACTTCTGCAATGTGAAGAAACCTTTAACAAGCACCATTGACACCACAAATCTGACGTATCTGAACCCTAGCTACCCTTGATTAAATTCTGATCGACTGACTGAATCACCCGGGAAGTCCACTGGCTTATTCCAAAATTGGATTTGGCCTGGTATGTCACCAAATAAAAGCAGAGCATAATGCTGCAAGTCAGCTCTCTCTCAGTCATAGTGTCAATGCAACGGAATTGGATTATGTTCCCCTTCCTGACCTAAAGCAGCTTACTAAAATTTCTTATGTTCATTTGAATGCATTTCTGTAGATATGAATGCTATAAATATGTTTATTTTAATCTATAATTTGAGTTTCTGCCACATAATTCATGACCATTGATGGAAGTTACAAACACTTATCAAATCACATTACACCCTTCACGCTGGAAGAGTTATAGATTATTTTTCACAAAAACCGCACAAGATCCTATACTAGTTCCTTTCCTTTATAACTACAAGTATAGTTTAATAAAACATTTCAGTAAGAGCCCTCTTATTTTAAAGGCAGTAATTATAATGAACTTCAATTTTTTAATGATACACACTACACCAAATCCCCCCCATGTCTAAAATGCTAAAAGATATTGAGCTACAAAATTAAGCATAACATCCACGTAAACCATACGCTGTCTTTGGATGGGAGAGATTTGAATTGCTTTAAGACATCTTGGTTCTTCAAGTAGAGGAAGAATAGAATTGCAAGAGAATTTAAGAATGTATGTTGGAAACAAATAAAGGAAACGTGCTTGGTTGTTGTGCTATATGTTAATCATCTAAAAATGTCCAGTAGCATTAGAGAGGGCTACAGTGGCAATAACTACTTTGATTTAGAAAGCACTAATAATCAGTAAGAATTATGAGCTATTATTAGCCTTTCTCTCCTAGTAGCCTTTATTATCGATTTCAGGTGACACCCAAATATCCCCATATATCGGTTCCTGCCAGAGCTGTACAACAGACATTGACAAAATCCTTTTGAAAGGTTTTCCTTTTTTCTTTGACAAGTTCCTGTGGCAGCCCACTTTCAACGAGTGTTTCAGATACTTTTGCAGCAGGATTATATAACAAATAAAATAACAAATATGCAAAAGTTACAAATATTTACACATACCTACATATAAATGCATACAGACAATATCCCCTTACCCACCTGGTTTGTGCATCTTCAGACACTTGCTTTATTGGACGTTCTTCTCGAACGAAACATGAAGATGTGCAGACCAACTAAAATGTCTGGTTTCCCAAACCTAACACTGTGGTATGCAAATGGGTTCCTCTATATGTTTTTGTTAAAATTCCTTCCGTCTCCCCCTCCCCCCCACCCCTCAGCCTGAATGCTGCTGTCAACTGTGGGATGCATGGACAACTTGCAAAGAGCCTGATATACGGGATGCACATAACTGGCATGAAATAGCACAGACTGCAGCAACCACCAATACGAATGTGCAGCCCAAGCAGATGACAAGTATCAGGATACACCGACTCCCCAAGATCCCAGCTACTGAATAAAGCTGTTGCAACTGAGAGTCCTGTATTCTGGGGCCTGTAGTCTCCATGGGCTGTATACCCCTCTTAAAATTAGGGTTGCTCTTTTAATCATACATTACCTTCAGGCTGCATTCTAGCCACTTCAGATTTTTCAGTGTTGCTGACATGAGAAAAAATATTAAACTGCCATTTTTTTTTTATGAGCAGAATTTGGTGAATGTTCCCTCCGTGGAATTAATACTCACCTGGTGGTTTCATGTAATATTGCTCAATATCAGACATGTCCGTATGCAGCGCACAATCGAGATAGTTGAGGATAACTTTTCTACTGAAGTAGTACCTCATACCCATTAGAAAGATGGGCAAACAGCAGGTCAGCAGCAAGGACTTGGTCACAACAAAGCATATTACTATGGAGATAAGGAAGAGAAATAAACGATACCTGTCAGAAAAGAGAATTTAGTGTTGATTTCGGAACACAAACCCATTAAAAAAAAATCATCACAGACAAAAGCATATTTGCATTACATCAACAAGAGCTCAATTTGCATTTTCAAGATAAACACAGTTCACATCATTTAGTAACACACCATTAAAACTAGACCACTCATAAAAAATAAGCTGCATTATGATCCCCCACCCCCCATCTTAAATTACCTAGACATTTCAACTTGAAGGTTAGCTCGTTTGATGAAGAACTCCTCAGATTTAACCTGCTCCAATTCTACAGTCCTGCAAGTGTCATCACGTCACAAGAACACCAAAGAAAGATGATCTCTGGATTAAGGTTTGCAACTGCAGCTCAAAGCAAGATCTGACTGCATCGCCAGTCCCTGCAGATAAATCCGGGCACCAAAATCGTGGTATCCAACTATGGCTTTCCATCAAGACAGTATCAGAAGGGATACAGCTTTGTGGCTAAGCAAGATGCCCAGCACAAGCAAAGCAACAGAAAGGTGCTTGTTAATAAAGCATCATCATTTTGGGCACTGGGAGATGTGGTTGCAGGTGATCCGTAAGGGGCAGCAACTGCTCAGCTTTACCCTGGTCTGCTTCAGGACCAAGAAGCTGCATAATGCGGGGCACTCGGGTGCTAGAAAACCAGGCAGCGCTGAGATGGCCGCTTTAGCCAGCCCTCAGCGAGGATGCTTCAGCGCCAGATCAATGGCCTTTGCGGCAGGCGGCAACAGCATCTGAGCAGCGCGTCTGCAAGTTACCTGCCACCCTCTGTCCCGCCCGCACAAAGGCCCTTAGCTCTCCTCAGCCCACGAGGCGGAGGTAGGAGCCGTCCCGCCGCCCGGGCAACGGGCAGGTTTTCCAGGACCCAGCGCCCGCCGGGCAGCGCCTGCAGGAGGGCTCGGCCCTGCAGGGAGGGCAGGACTGCGGCGCAGCCCCGGCCGAACGCCGCGCGGCCGTATCCAGGCGACGCTAGAACCCTCCGAACGCGGCACGGCCGTCGCCAGGCGACGCTGGAACCTGGAACCCAGCTCCCACCCGCACCCC